ACACACACACACACACACTCTTCTAGCCTTAAATGGACAAATTTGGGTTGTTTTTTTTTCTCTTCACAAAACAAAATAATATTAAACGTGAGAATTATTTTTCTTTTACTAACTTTCCTCTAGGAAGATTTGCATTCCCTATTTCCTATGTGCAAAGCTCTAAGCAACACTAATTTGTTTAAAACCGTAAACATTGTAAATATTGATGTGATTTTGCTGTGTTGAAGACTGTATTTACTTTCAAATCAAGAAGGGAAAGTAAAGCAACTGGAGACAGTTCTGGATGGGATACGAGAGTAAACTGAGAAAATGGCCAAAGTAACCAAATACACTTTGCTCTTCCTTCACTGTTGGGTGATTGTGCTATGTACAGTGGGAAGCCTGCAGTCACAATATTTGAACAAATAAGTGATGAAAATTGTCAAATTAATACAACCATTCCATAACTAAGTATGATTATACTGGACTTACTAAAACATTTCTTTTCCTGATAGTAATAAATTTGAAATATTTGTTAACTTTTTATTGCTCTTTAGTAAAGCGTACTAGTTTTTGTTCCAGTGCATCATGTATTTGAAGGCTGTTTTAAAAGAAATAATTTTTTTTTATTTTTAAATGTCTTTTTTATTATTATTCATTTCAATGAAAATTTACAAACTTTGGATTTCCATTGTTGCACTTTTCTCCCCTCCCAACTCTCCCCTCCCCCACAGGAAAAGTAAAAGAAAAATTCTTTCATTGTTTTACAATCCCTCCCCCAGGTCCACTCCACTATGCAGCCTTCGCTGTGGACTCCTGTCATGACAAAAATACCTAATCACATATCCCTTTTAAACAGTTTCCTCCCTCATCTGTTTCAATGCGGTATACATTATTGAATCCCTCTTTCTCAGTCTCCCCCAACCCCGATGTCACTCCTGTTTTACAACAGTGCCACCATGCAGTATTTGTCCTTTTGTGACTGAGATACTTCACTCAGCATAATGTCCTCCATTTTGAATAATATTGTATGAGTTCCTTCTTTTTCAGTGCAGTGTAGTATTCCATTGTGTGACTATACCACAGCTTTTCGTTTGTTGATGGGCACTTAGGTTGTTTCCAACACCTTGCTATTGTGAACAAAGCCGCAATAAGCATGGGTGTGCATATATCTGCTTGGATGTCAGTTATGGTCTCTTTAGGGTGTATTCCCAGTAGTGGAATTGCTGGGTCAAATGGTATCTCTATTTGCAAGTTGATGAGAAAGCGCCACACTGCCTTCCACAGTGATTGCACCATTGTACACTCCCACCAACAGTGAATAAGGGTTCCAGTTTCTCCATAACCTCACCAGCATTTGTTAGTTGCTGTTCTGTTAAATTTTGCTATTCTGACTGGGGTGAGATGATTATCTCATAGTTGTTTTGATTTGCATCTCTCTTAGAGCTAGGGATTTTGAACATTTCTTGATGTGCTTCTTAGCCATCTGAATGTCTTCTTCAGTGAAGTGTCTGTTCATATCCTGTGCCTATTTTTCGATTGGATTATTTACCTCTATCTTGTGGTGAGAAATAATTATTTTCATCAAGGAATTTATAAATACTCTTCACAAAGATGATCCATACTGCAGAAAGAATTCCAACACTGGAAAGTTAGAAAATTTTAAAATCAACTATAAACCAAGAATCAGAATTCTTAGCTGCTATTAACTTTATATCTGTATATAAAAGCGCATGGGGACCACTTTGGTGTACATTTTTACTTACAAATTCATGTATTCGCATATATGCATATATATTTGTAATCTATATTAGGGCTGTTGTACATAGAGTCGCTATGAGTTGCAAACGACTCGACGGCACATAACAACAACAACATGTTTCTATATAGAAGGCAGATATAGAGATGTCCAGAATAGCAGATATTGAAGACAGAGCAAAATGTCTAAAAACAAACCATGTGTATCTGATTATGTGAGAACACATTAAGTAATAATATAGCATGAAAGATGAGAATAATTATTTCTCTTTTCAGTATACTCCAACTTACTATTAGATATGCATTTATTTCAAGACAGTTTATGAGTTGGAAAGTTAACGTCTCCATTTAGTGAAAGCACATTACTGTTAACTTCTAATCAATGTCCTGAGTGACTGTGTATTGAACTAAAATAATGAAACATCTTTGAAATATACCAGAAATAGCATTGCTTGTACAAAAGCAAACTTGCAGAACTTTCTAACTTAGTCTCCCTTCCTAGTGTCTCTATCACTATCCTGAGAGCCTTCTGTCAAGTCTCTGATCTCTTAGAAGTTATTCAGCCCAGGACTTTAAGCAGCCTTGAAAGAGGAAACCCCCGGGTTCAAACTTGTAGTTACTTCTGTTGTATTATGTGCCACGGAGCTGAAACTGACCCCTGTCTTAACCCTGCAATGGGTCTTCAGAGGCAATAAATCACACGGAAGGAGATTGTCCAGCCTTCTCCCACATAACAGCTTGGATTTGATCCACATACCTTTAGGATTACAGCACAGCTTCTTACCACTAGGCCACCAGAGCTCCCTCAAGTTACTTCTTGTTGTGTGCTATCTAGTTGGAACTAACCCATAGCAGACACTCCAGTTTGTTTTCAGAAACAGTCAGTCACATCGGAGGAGATAGTCTAGTTACCTCTGTTGTTATGTGCCATCAAGTCGCTTGCGACTCATAGCGACCCTATGTACAATGGCCCTAAACCCTGCTCTGTCCTGTGCCAATCTCACTGTCTCTGACAAACCCATCCCAATTACCCCAGTCACTGAATCAATTCACCTCCTAGAGGGTCTTCTCCTCCTGTGCTGTCCCTCCACCCTCCCAAGCAAGATGTCCCTCTCCAAGGACTGGTCCCTCCTTGCAACATGTCCATAGTATGTCAGATGAAGCCTCAGAATCCTTGCCTGCAAGGAGCAGCCTGGTTTAACCCTCTTGAGGATGAACCTGTTTGTTTTCTTAGAAGTCCATGGTACATTCAATACTCTTCTCCAGCACCACAGCTCAAAGGCATCAATTCTCCTTCTATGTAAATCAAAGCTCCAACTACACCTATCCCCACTCCATCTTTTAGTATCCTGGAAAGTTTGTTATCCTTTGTTTCATTATTGCCATTTTCTCAATGAGAATAATTTTTAATTTGTGTTTCCTTTTTACATATCCAAATATCTTAAGGAGAAATAAAATATTCCTGGCCAATCACAAATAAGTGTAAATTAAGAAAGTAAAATGGATTCCTTTCCTCCCAACAAATTTAGAGTTTATCCTTGCCTACTAGACATCAAGGGAGCTCTGGTGGCCAAGTGGTAAAGAGATGGCTGTGATCCCAAAACCAGGTGATTCAAATCCACCAGCTTCTCTTCAGGAGAAAAATGGGCAATTTCGTGTGAGATTAAACTGCCTCTGAAAACCCATTGGAGAAAGGGTCAGCTATGAGTGGTTTCCAACTCAACAGTGCACCACAATAACTAGGCATCCAGCATGGTTCTGGGCTCTAGGAATATAGCTAGAGAGAGAGAGAGAAAAAAAAAAAAAGACAAACCTACTGGATAGGTAGTTTAGATTCAGAGATAAAAGAAAATGGCAATTTGGGAGCCTGGGTACAGGGAGCAATCAAAAGTCTTAGGGACCTGAGAGTAGATATTAGCAGGCTAGCACCTGTGGAAAAACAAAACAGCTGCCCCTGGCCCTGTAATCCCTGGGTGACTGACTGCCAGGCTGCTGATTCAGAGGCACCTCAGAGGAAGGTAAGTTCTTGTGGCCTGTTTACTTCCAAAAGACCATAGCCATCAAGAGCCCACTGGTACCCACATCTGTTCTGACACGTGTGGATTCACCATGAGTTTCCTAACAGAAGAAAGTTGATGAAAGTAAGCTTTGTGGGGGAAACAACCACTTCTAACCATTCAGACAAGACAAATTTTTGTCTCTGGGAATATTAACCTATGTTTTGGTGGAGAGCGGAGAGAGCAGAAATAATTTGCACATTCAAAATCATTGACAAATACCAAACTTTCAGAGTACCTCCTTTCTCGGGTCTTCAAAAAGATCACAAAATCGTGCACTAAATACACCCATTTCAGTGTTGAGGA